TAGTCAATGGTAGTCAACTGCAAGGTGAAACCTTAATGAGAATTAGAAACTAGAGAGAAATTACAACATTTTCTTCTTAAACTTCATACATATCCAGCCAATTTAGGGTGAGGTTATCATTAGGAATCGTTATTATTTTCTTTATAGAAATAGAATTGCAGAATTCAGATCTTCTATGATTTTGAAAGCAATAAAATTTAGGGATACTTGTACTTACATGTGAGCTTAGATCTACCCTAGTTAAAAGAACAGAAGAAAAAGGTTAATAGAACAAAAACATTAATAGGAACACAGAAGCAGAAAATATTTTCTTAACTGCTGAGTGCAGTCCCCTATGGGCTACTACTTTTCAACACAGTCCACAAGAATATGCACTCTGGTACCTCAGAAACCACAGCCACAGACTATCCACTCCTAAACAATTTAAAATGTACCACAGTAAGGCTAGGGACAGAAGTTATACAGTCAGTTTAAAGGCATTTATACACATACTTTCTGTCCCGCAACACACCAGAGATCTGTCACTTTGGAGCAGACTCAATTAATTGAGTCTGGTCTGCATCCAAGCTGATGCATACTGTGCAGCGTCGTGTGCAGTTATATAAGCTGCACAATGCACATCAGCACGCAGAAAGTGGCAGCGGTGTACTTTTGAACTAAAGCACCTTGTATGAATTTTAGTTCAAAAGTGTGCCACCACCATTTTCTCAGTGCTGACATGCATTTTGCCGCTTATACAACTGCATGCATCACAGCACCGGGCACATTTCAAGGTGTCCAGTGCTGTGGCACTTGTGTGTGTAAAAATGCCTTAAGTGATCAGAAACTGGTTTAAACCTGTACCAGAACATAAGTTGAGCGCACATAAACCAGTTTAAAAATGGCCGAAACAGGTTTAAGATAAACCTGGTTGAATGTAGTATCAGACTTAACTGATTTGGGTCAAACCAGTTTATGCAACTTCTGTCCCAGTCCCCTTCCCAGTTTAAGTTAAATCAGAGTCCTTCAGCATCCCAGCATGCTCTGCAGTCCTGGACTGCCTGTTCCTGCCAAGCAGAGCTGGCCCCACCCCTCTTCTCTCTAGCCAGACCACTATTACTGCTCCAGCTTTAAGTGATGGGAAACCCTGCTCTGAAGTGCTGCTGGGTCTGCCTGGCAAGGGGGCAGCAGCCTTTGCTACGTGTCTTCAGCCCCCCAACCCCCTCACTGCTCCACCAGCAGGAGCAGGGGTAGGGCCAGAGCCTGGTTGCTTGAGGGAAAGCGGAGGTTTAATCCCCACATTGCAGGGTGGGAGTGCAACGTGGGCACCAATAGACTTTGCTTGTGCACCGGGGCCATGGGGGCCAGATGCCAA